TGAGAGATACATCGAAAGCTTTTTGATATATTTTTATTATATTTTTGTAGTATCATTTTTTTTAGAGATGGTAAAAATGATGAGCCCTAAATTGCTGATCTTCCTTAATCCATCCTTCATTCGGGCTTGGGAAGAGGCTGGTCGTCCACCCTTGGAGTAGATGCGTCAAAGGTAATCCATCCTGCCTCTATTAGATTCTGGACCTTGTGCTTTAAGGCCATACAGTTTTCAATGGAGTGTCCAGGGGAACCTGAATGGTAATCACAGTTTTCATTAGCTTTATACCATTCTGGGTATGGTGGCTCCATTTTCTTGGGAGGGACACGTACGAGGAGCTTGGCGTCTAGTAATTTTAACAGCAAGCTTGCATAAGAAGTGGGTATTGGGGTGAACTTTCTTTCTGGTCTACGTGGCTTAGTTTGCTGAGAGGAGGAAGAAGGAATGGCCAAGTTGATTGCATTTACGGTTCCTTCTTTCTTTTTCCCGAGGCTCTTTTTAATGAATGGAGTAGAGGAGTTGGAGGAGTTATGCTGTGCAATCCTTCCGTTCTTCAGACCTTGCTCTACTCTTTCTCCTATAATGACTACATCTGCGAAGAGTGTCGATGTGTTCCCTATCATTTTGTCATAATAAGGACCCGTCAAAGAATTGATGAACATGGATGTAGTCTCTTTGTCAGATAAAGGAGGTTCTACTTGTGCTGCCAATTCCCTCCATCTTTGGGCATATGCTTTGAAGGATTCATCATCTTTCTTGCTTAATAGTTGTAGATCTCGCTCTTTCAGGGGTCGATCAATATTGTATTTATATCGACGAAGAAAGGCATCTCGCAGGTGTCTCCAGGTTTGGATTTGGCCCCCTTCTAGTTGCATATACCAGCTTTAAGGCCGATTCAGCTAAACTCTCCCGAAAGCAATGGATCGGAGTTTCTCATTATCAAGATATGCAGCCATCTTACTAGCAGTACATTGTAAGATGGCTTTTGGGGCAGGTTATTCCTAAGTATTTCTGGAAGTCCGGAGTTTTGAACTTATTAGGGAATTGGATGTTTTTAACGAGACACATATCACTCGCCTCTTTTATATCAAAATTGTGTCCTTCCATGGCTCTCAGCCTCTCTTCAAGAGCGAGTGATTTGTTGTTTTGATACTTCAGGAGCATGAATATGTACTCGCTCTTGTACCAGATTGATCATGCTCATTCCGAGGTTCCTCTTCTTCTTCGTGGTGAGAGGCTTGTCCATTCCGAGGACCCTCTTGATGGAGATTCTGTTGATGTATCATTTCTAACATTTGAGTCATTTGCTCTTTCAGATGTAGTAAGCTCAGCGGTGAGCTTTCGGTTTTGTTCTTCTAGTTGTTCCATCTTCTTAGCCTTTTGAGCACGAGTGAGGACTGGCGGAAGACCAGCCACCTTCTAAATGATTTTAATGATTCTTATTATAACTTTTTATTTTAAATGATTAGCGTGGAATAAATATGCCCTAGGATGAACGTGTTTATGTATGAGAGATTTTATTTATGATGATGTTTATGCATACTTTTCTTAATGCATTGGTTTTCTCTCTTAGTTTTACTACTTATTGAATGATGCGGTATGAATGATACGACTTTGCCAAGAATCTTTTTGAAAAGGTATTTTTATGACCTTAATGTTTTACATTTTTTTATGATTTTTAGGTTTTTTCATTTTTTGTCTGTTGTATGATTACCCTATGCTAATGCATCAATACAAATGCAGCAAACGTATGCGCACACAATTCATACATCCACGAGCGGAGCCGCGCTTATTTAATCACGAGGTGGGATTTTCCTGCGTAAACGTGCTTGGTTTAGGTGGTTCTAACTGTTCTCACCAGGCCAAAGGTCCCCAAGGTGCCCCCATTATAGGGACCTCTCAATCTCTCGATCCTCGGGTCATGCACGAACTCCGTGGCGACACCCTTAGACCAAAAGAAGAGAGTTATCACCTTGAGTTGGTGGTTTTCCGACAACGCAGTAGCCCCGTGTGCCAACTAACCGATCGTATCTCGCCACCCACTCCTTATAGATATTCACTCTTGCCCCGGGTATAGAGGGACTCGTTGTGTGCAAGGGTTTTGTGTGCAATTTATATTTCAAACAATTTGCAGAAAATAATCATACAGCAGTTATTAAAGCCATACAGTAAAAAAAACATACGAAGGGTAAAGGCGTAATTTCAAATCTTTACTTAGTTTGAATTTATCTGTCACTAAATGGGATCAACTCTCTAGCTTCCCCAGTGGAGTCGCCATCTGTCGCCGCCGTCCCTTTCGACGTCCGGGGGATGTCTCGAAACGTTTATGCGAGCGGTCGCGAAAAGATGGTTTAGACTCGCGTTTTTGTTTTAAAAGGTTTTCGAAAAGAGGTTCTTATGGAGTCGCCACCAATGTTTTGACCTTAAACATTGGAAAAGGAAAAAATGTTGATTTTAAGAAAAACCGCACTTGGCCATTATAACCAGAGTTGGGTAAGTGAGTTAGTTACGTGTGGGGAAGGTATTAGCACCCCACAACGCCCCTTTCGGGTTCCCTATGACAGATTTATTTAAATAAAGACTATGAGAAATTACGCGATTACCCTATTTTATTACATAATATTAAATGGCTATCTACATGATTTTATTCTATGTTGCATGCATAAAATGATGAATAAAGCTAAATAAAGCAATAAAAGAGATATTAAAATAGCTATCTACATGATCCTATTATACATGACATAATAAAGCTAAATAAAACAATAAAACAATAAAGCAATAAAAGAGAAGAGAATTGAAAAGAACCTCCGTAGCAAGCTTGATATTGAGAATCTTGAACTGTGAGGATGCGTTTTGGCAACCCCTCTCTCTACACAGACTCTCCTCACCAACACGAGATCGACCCCACTAAAAATTTAAAGAAGAATCGAATGCCTGGAATATAATTCCTTAACCGATTGTTACCTATTTAAGGCAATCGGAAAGATCATTCAAGAGAAAGAAAGAAATAGACAAGTGCTCTGAGTTTTAGAAAGTGTTTCAGAGCTTTCTGGAGTGTCTGGGGTGTGAAAAAGTGACAAATGAGCCTCCTATTTATAGTTTTCGCAGCTGGCGCACTTCGGGACCACCGTCTGGACTGGGACGGCCGTCTGGACTCGGACGGCCGTCCCAAATGGCAAAATTACACAGGCCGGGACCCCCGGGGACCCGGACGGCCGTCCCACTTGAACTCGGGACTTGGGACGGCCGTCCCAACTTCGGACGCGCGTCCCAACCGGCCGGGACAGGTTGGGACGGCCGTCCCAACTTTGGGACGGCCGTCTCGACTGTTTCAGCCGGTTGCGCGTTTCGGACTCGGGAAGCTTTCCTTGTCTGTTTTGGACGTCAGTTGATGCCGATATGTGTCCGTTGAAGCTTTATCTTCGTGTAGGAAGTCTCCTTTGTGTGGATGATTGAACTCCGTCTTATTATGAGAGGTCTTCTTTAGTCTTTATCGTGCATATAAGCGAATTCCATGTTGTTGCGGGAGGTTTCCTCAATTTTTGGGAAACCAGATGAACTCCATCTTCGGACGAAGTTCCTCTATCTTTTATTTTGAGAGGCCGGGCAAAATTAGGGGTCTACAATCATAGGTCTATTGCCGTTGCAAACTTTAGCTTTAAAGTTAGCTCTAAAGTCCTTGCTCCTCATCTGTTGTCTTCCGTCATTCCAAGAATCATCTCACCACAGTAAATTGGCTTTGTGAAATGTAAGAATATATTGGATGGAACTGAATCCATCAATATGCTTGATCATCGTATTAGAGGAAGAAATGTAGCTATGAAGTTTGATATCAAAATAGCTTTTGATACCCTAGAATGGAGCTTCCTTCTGCAGAAAGCCTTTGGTTTTAATGGCGTTATGCAACTGGATAAAAGTCATTTTAGCTTCTGGGTGATTTGAACATGCAGAACTCTCTCCGTTTTGCCAACGAAGCTAGAAATCTTGGTCAAGTTTTCTCTTCAATCAAAGCTGAGTGGCTGACACCGGTACAGTTTGCAGAGGCCAAGTTTTCTTATCCATTTTCGGATTCTACTCTTTTCCATTATTATTCACCCTCCTCCTCCTCCTCAGATCTTGGAATTTAATTTGCGTCCAATTTGTTGAATTGTATTAAGTGCAATACCAGACATTCGCATATCATATTTTATAAAAAAAAAAAAAAAAATAGACACTCTCAATATTAGATATGATTTTGTTAATCTATTACTGCTTCTGCAGTAATTTAGGTTTAGGTTTTCTGTTTTTAGGGTTTCTGGAAGCTTTCCTCTTCTCATAGTTACTTAGAACATTGTATCTCCCAAAGAATGAGATGCATACAATGAGATGCATACCTGTTTTTTCTTCTCCTCTTCTCTCTGATTGTCATTATCTCACTCCCTGCCATGAGTTATTACAAAATTTGTTCTGCATACCACACTCTTTACTAAATTGAACTACATATTAGTTTTTTCCTTTAAAATTAGATTTTAAAATACCTAAATTTGAATGATTTTATCACAATACAAATTTTGCTATTCTCGAATTTTAATTTGTACTAATTTTCATCCTTGCAAATATGTCAATTTGTTCCTTAAGATTATCTACTTATTTTTTAATTAATTTTGCTCTCTAATTTTATTTTTTTTAATTCATTTATATTTTTTTAATGTATTTTTTTTTTTCATTTTTAATCACATATTATTGATAATGTGACACGTTTTTTAAAAAAAGTAAAATGAACAACGTGACATTATGCTGATATAGCATATTACCAAATGAACACGAAATATACACATAAGACACTTAATGACAAATCCAAATTTATTCCATGCAATAAACAAAAGATCTTCACAAGCATCCTTCTTGCTAAACAGCACAACCATGTATATATTATTATACAGATAAGGCCATGCCAAACCCATTATTTCTTATTATACTGATAAGCACTTATCCTATGGTTATATATTACAAACTTTTTGAAGCTATGCCTTGAGAAGATGACCATCAATATCTGTTGTGCATTTGTGCAAGCACTCCATGTAGCCAAATGGAGGATCAACTTCCTCATCAACCCTCTCATATTCAACGGTCCATTTGATAAAAGCACCATCACGATCCTTATCAAGAACTTGAAATATGAGCTTAAAGATATTAAACCGGTCATCGATGTCTCCACTGAAGAGCTTGTAGGTGATTGTTTTGTTTGCTTCATCAACAGACTCAACCCTCTCATGACATGTTATAACCTTACCATCTGTTCTTTCTCAACCAATCAAAACCATAACATAAACATTGTGTGAGAATTATACTAAAGTTAAGTAAATGAGTATATAACTTTTTTTTTTAATTTTAATCTCGATCTCTAGCCATCAAATTCTGTTCAATTAAGTAAGAAAATTACTAAGTTATCTTGCATCCAGAATCATTATTTGTAATAAACTGGACCTAACACTAGAAATGAGAATTATAGAGAGCAAAAACTATATTCAAGCTAAGAGAAAAGACAATCTACCCTTTTTAGTGAGAAGTTGATTTACCTATGGTATAAGTCCACTGTTTGATGGAATCATTCTGATGCCAGTCATGACCATGATGCAACTTGGTTCCATGAATTCTATCAGTAAGGTGTTGAACATCGTGCAGTTTCGTTGTGTAGAGGTTGAACCACTTTGCAGCAGTTGAATGAACCCCAATTTCAGTGCTGATTTTACCAGCCAGCGACATGGTAATGAAGAATGAAGCAGACAAAGTGGATGAGAGATGGTGAAGATTATTGCCGCCATATCCCACTTATAAAGAACATGACTTACCTACTCTTAACAATTCACTAATTAATTAAACGTTGGGGTCCATTTCGACGCCCTACAAAATAGAAAATACCTAATCACTTTCATTGGAAACCTAAATCTATCTAATACCATAAATTTATTACTATTTTATTTACTATATACCAATGGCTATATAATAAAATGAAGACATTCTGCAACACATGGCAATATTATAACAAAATGTTTTCTACTCAAAACACTTCTACATGCAGCAGTGATACGTTGAAGCATATCTTTGAACCTCTGTTCCGCATAAACAACAATGAAGCAGTTATTCTAGGTCTTGTCATGCAGTCACTAGTACAAAACAGGCTTTTAACATCGGTTCCCAGGGACTTTTAACATCGGTTCTAGAACCGATGTAGATACAGCCGATGTAGAAAGTCACACTTTCTACATCGGTTCCTAAGGAACCGATGTAGAAAGTGTGACTTTCCACTTTCTACATCGGTTCCTAAGGAACCGATGTAGAAAGTCTAATATTTTTATATATTTTATTTATTTTATTTATTCATAACCCCTCTCCAATTACCCTATCTATTGATCTAGAGGTCTCCTCTCCCTTTTATATTATATTTTTATTATTTATTATATTATTTATATTTTTTAGAAATTTGATTTATTATCGGATTAAGAGAATTGTCACTCGGCAAGATTCGAACCAGAGACCTTAGAGTCGGAGAGTCGATACTCCAACCACTAAGCTATTAGGATTTTCTCGATAATAACTTATACATAAATTATATTTATATACAAATAAAAATGTATATCCATGTAAATATATAAATATAAAATATATAAATATAAAATATATAAATACAAATACAAATATATTTATATATTTTATATGTTGGATGTGAGGAATTAAAATATATTTTAGTGACCGATTCAGTGGACCGATTCATCGACCGAATTAGTGACCGAATCAGTGACCGATTCGAGTGACCGAATCGGTGACCAACTGGAATCGATCACTATTTCCTTGGTCACTGATATTAGTGACCGATTCAGTGGACCGATATATGAAGGGATAATATTGATATATTAATATATGAGGGGATAATATTGATATATTGATATATTTGTATATATATATATATATTTATATATATTTATATATTGATATATTTATATATTAATATATTTATATATTTATATTTTTATATGTGCAGGGGGCGTTTCGCTCGAGCGATAGGATTGTCGCTTAAGCGAAACACAACCCGAGAATGCCAATTTTGTGCGAGGGCGTTTCGCTCGAGCGAGAAGACCGTCGCTCAAGCGAAAGACATTTTAGATAGCGGTTACACAGGAACCGCTTTTAAAAGCTCACTTAGATAGCGGTTAACCTAGAACCGCTATGATATCGTTCAATTATGATCGATCAAAATGCAATTATGACCGATCATAATTTTGTGCAGGGCGTTTCGCTCGAGCGAGACGATTGTCGCTCAAGCGAAACACAACCCGAGAATGCCAATTTTGTGCAGGGGCGTTTCGCTCGAGCGATAAGACTGTCGCTCAAGCGAAAGACATTTTAGATAGCGGTTACACAGAACCGCTTTTAAAACTCACTTAGATAGCGGTTAACCTGGAACCGCTATGATATCGTTCAATTATGATCGATCGTAATGCAATTATGACCGATCATATTTTGTGCAGTGGGCGTTTCGCTCGAGCGAGGGATTTTCGCTCAAGCGAAACATTTATTAATTCTATAATTTTATATAATTATTATTATTATAAATTTAATTTTCTAATAACTAATAATATTAACACATTTATTAAATTAAATTTCTTTATTTTAATTAATTATTTTAAATTTTTAAAAAATATTTTTCAAATAAATATGATAAAACTTAAAATTAATTTCTAACTAATAATATGGTTAATAGTATATTATATTATTATGTTTAATTAAATTTTAAAATAAATTTACTTAATCTTTACAATTTATATAAAAATAACTAATATAAACTTAAAATATATATCTAACTATTAAATTATCCAAAATATTAATATAAATTTAAAATATCAATTCAAGTAATTAAAATAATTTTAATTTTTTTATAAATATATTAAACTGAATTTTTCGGTCACTAATTTCGGTCACTATTAACCATTTTTCTAGTAGTGTATAAAGATTATATGCTATATTATTATAAATAAATTATAAAGATTATATTCTATCATTAAATTACAAATTCATATAAAGAGACTCGCTCACAAATTTGACATCAAATTTTGAAAACCCACTTGACACACACTTTCACTCTCGAGCGCGCTCTCACATCCAACATATAAATATATAAATATATTTGTATTTGTATTTATATATTTTATATTTATATATTTACATGGATATACATTTATCGAGAAAATCCTAGTAGCTTAGTGGTTGGAGTATCGAGCCTTCGACTCTAAGGTACTTGGGTTCGAATCTTGCCAGGTGACAGTTCTCTTAATTTTATAAAATGACTTTCTACATCGGTTCATCCGAGAACCGATGTAGAAAGTATTTCTACATCGGTTCATCCGGGAACCGATGTAGAAAGTGTTTTCTACATCGGTTCATCTGGGAACCGATGTAGAAAGTCTTGAATCCACTTTCTACATCGGTTCTTAAAGAACCGATGTGGAAAGACCGATGTTAAAAGTGATTTCGTACTAGTGAGTGTAGATTATTGACTATTTTCATAAATTGAATTTATTTAACATATTATATAAATTTTGATCAAGATCATAAATATGCAATATTTTTTAAAAGTCTAATGTCAGGTAATTATCAGCAAATCATTCATAATCCAATATTTAAATGTAGGGTCCAGCCTATCCCGTTATATATGGGTAAAGCTTTTGAAGCCACACCAATGCCACGATAATATAATGACCCATTCAAGATTTGAATAAGTTTTATATAAAAATTTCAATTTATTTAAGTTTTTCTACTCCATAATTTAACTTTTTTTTTTATTTTTTATGCCCCAAAATTTAATAAGGTCTAATAGTCGTATTTTTTTTCAATATTGATACTTTTTATTCCCTCATTCTCAGCATTTTAAAGTAGAGTGAGCATTAAAATTAATTTAAATTCATATTCATTTAATTATAAAAAATTAACATTAAATAGAGACTATAATTATGTCATGTAAATACAAAATCAGTTTTACTTGAACTATTTTAGTTGTTTTATTTTTTACTAAATAATTAAAATATTTTTAATGATAGATTATTAATTTTGGAGAACAGAATAATTATATATAATAGTTCAAAATATAATCGTTCAATAAAAGAGTATAAATTTTCAACTATTTTAATTAATTTTTTTATTTATGTATTACATTTTTCACGATTTAGTTTTTTTTTCTATTTTTTTTTTTAAATGTGAATATGAACACATGTCTATACTTGATATATGTCTGTCCATTTTAATATAATCTCCCAAGGACCTACTACCTAAATAAATACCATATATAAGTTTTTTAAAATCCCTTTTTAATTAAAAAAATGAGTGTGTTTCTATTTCAAATGTCTATAGTTTAATTGAAAAATCATTTAAAGTTTTAGTTAAAACATGTAGGTATTCTCAGAAGGACACAATAATATAATTTTTCATTGACATTAATTTTTGTACATTATAATTTCCTGCTCTCAAATACTTTAAAATTTTCCTTTAGTTTTTTGTAATTTATTTTCATTTTATCTCAGTTAATTTGTTTCCTAAGTTTATTTCTGTAAAAAAATCAGTTTTAATGGATGTAATTTTTATATATTTTTTAATTATTACATATTTTATTTTATTATATATGGTTGCTATAACGTAAAAATTTGTGGATATGGCGTAGATGATGCGTCATGACACATTATAATTTTTACTTAACGTGACACGTGGTGATATAATCGTTTTAATAAAATAATTATAGAATAGGAGTAATAGAAAAACTGTAGAACTTGAATAACTAGTTTTGAATTGTTTACATGGATAGATCTAAAAGAAGAATAGTAAATCGTAGGAACATAGAACTTGATTAAGCTTTTTTCTCTCAGTATTTTAACAAATTTCTCGTTAACTTACTTTACATATGCTGCCGATATTTATAGTGTTTTTAATTTTAATAAAATATTTAATTTTAAAATGGTAAGAATTCAAAATTTAGTTAACAATTTTGAAACTATATAATTATCTAAAAATAAATCTTTAGATAAAATAAAAATATAAAACATATGAAATATATAATTTCATCAAACATTATTAGGTAGTTAAACAAATCTACAACACTAAATACTGCAAACAAATATAGCAGGAATCAGCCCAAAAAAAGGGTGCTATTAATAAATAAATTTACCACCTATCATCTTTTTATTTACTGTAGAGTTATAATTTATCTTAAATAAATAAATTAAACATTTTCTTGTATATAAAAGGTGCTGCTATTAATAAATCTCGCAAATGAAATTAGGATTGATAAAAACAAATTGAGATGAACCAAATGCATAGTATGTAAGTTAATTTGTAGTTTTTTTATGTTTTTAATTTATTTTAGAAAATTACTTTAGAGAATCTTTAGATTATTGATTTTCACAATATAACATACATTAATACATGCATCATAATAAAAAGACTAACCTTAATCCATGAGCGTATATTCTTTAATCTCTTTGTTCTCGAACCTCCTTTTTCCCAAACTATCTCTTTATCTCTTTCTCTTCTCACATTTTCCTAATGATTTATCGTGAAAAAATCTTATGGCCGGAGATAGAACCCTAATCCCTTTTATTACCCAACGTCCATCAAATTGGTTAACATAAATTTTTATTTTATTTTATTCTAACTTCACATAATAATCAATAAGTCCTTATATTTTATTAAATCACACTTTGGTCCATCATTATATTTCA